AAAATAAAAAGTATGTATTCAACGAATACATTTTTAATTGTAAACCGTATTCACGTAATACGTTGTTAATTAAAAAACATATTTACCGAATACGTTTTGCTAAAAAATAATTTGTTAATTTAATTAACGTAATTAACTTAACTAAAATTCAGAAAAACGTATTGGGTAAATACGTTTTACACTGAAAAAAATTAAATACGTATTATATAAATATGTGTTTCATTTAAAATTAGTTATATATATATATATATTTTATTATAAAACGTATTTATGAAATACGTTTTAAAAATAAAATTAATTTTCACAATTCCTAAAAATAATTTTTCTCGGAAAAAAAATTCGAAATATAAACCGTATTTTGAAAATACGTTTTATATGTAATTTTGTCCCGAATTGATTTTTGGTGCGCTAATTTTAGTCCCAAAACCCTAAATCCTAGGTAAACGTATTCATGAAATACGTTTTTTGTTTTAAAAAATTAAAAAACGCATTAACTAAATACAGTTTTATCAGAAATCCTATTACCAGTCAAATATACCTGTTCACAACCAAATACACCTGTTCGATATCAACATATTCGCCCAATAATAATCCAACATACCATACAAACAAACAAATGAAACACAATAATTTGTCGAACAAACAGTATATACAACACGATATAATTCGGTTTATACAGACAATCCAACAATTCAAAATGAACACAAAATACACGAATTCAACACAACTAACTAAGAAGGAGTGTATGGATCCCTAGGCTTGCGCGGTCTGGACCCCCTCCGAGTATATACCATGTGAGAAGAAGACGAAGGTTGAGGTGTGAGAAGCGTGTCAGTTTGAAAAGCCTGCTCATTTTCATCTTCTTCATCTGAATAATTCAATTGAAAAAAGAAATCATAAATTGGACTGTAAAAAAAAATATTAATTTAAAAATCTCACCTTGTTGAGGCTCGGGCTGCTTAGGTTGGGGGTGCTGGGCGGACGGCTGAGCGCGGGGACGGGCCCGAGGTTTTCTACCCCCACCAATGTTGGGGGCGGGTTGATGTCTGGCCGTGTGCGACTGTGTCCTCATGGGGGGAATGTATTCGTCCTGGGAGAAAACTTGACTGGACGGCTCCCCATGTGGAACACCCTGGCCCCCAACAGTCAGAGAAGAGAAGACAAAGTTGTACGACTGTTGGAAGCCGGTCTGCACTTCTGGAGGGATTTGAGGTATTAATGGTTGAATGTCGGATAATGCGCCATAAACCCCTTGTAGTGCAGAAGTCTGTAAATAAAATTCATAATAATTAGTATGAAACACAAAAAAAAATATAATAATAATAATAATAATAAACACAAATAATGAACACTTACCTGACAGCCTAACCACTCGGCAAGTGGCTGATACCCGCCTGCCAGCTGGAACACCGGTAATTGGCAGGGTTATTGATGAATCTCACAGTCCTGTTGTGAAACCATTCAATGTAACCCTGCTCCGGCTGCAGATAGTCGTGCACGAGGACAACTGGGAGGAGACGTTGTTCTATTTCTTCGGTCCACGAGTTGAAAAACGACACATGGAATGCGGCTCAATCGTAAAACGCCCTCCCAGTCATCCCCTGACCCTTGTGGTGTGTGTCCCAGTCTCGCTCATCCAGAATGATCGGATCTTGGGGGATGGACTGGCGACACCCAAATTGACGGAGGACCCTGTCAGGCAGGTGTACCTCCCGGATGTTCCAACTGAAAATCCACCCCTGGTACATCCAAATTTGTGGATCTCTTGAGCACGCCTCCGGGAGAGTATCATCCTCCAGGTGTTGTCGATAGGGCTGCCAATCGAACTGTAAAAAAAATAAAAATTGAATTAGTAATTAAGTTATTACAAAATTATAAACAAAAAAAAAAATAAATCAAATAATAGGAATTAAGAATATTACATCATACTCTCCCAGCCCTGTCAACTGATCCCGATAGACGACCAATGTATTGGCTATGTTGGACCTCTTTTTCGGTCCCACCCACCTTAAAAATCAGAGGAAAAAAAAGTTTGTAATCACAAAATTTGATAATGAAAATAATGTACGGATTAAATAAAAATAAAGTTACGTCGCTCCCAATGGACAATCAAGCAGAGTATCAAACTTACTATGCTTAACTATTGGGCGAATACGAGGGATACGCTCCCATGCCCAAACCTACACAAATGGACATTAATTTTGTTATTAGTTATTAGTCGAAGTAAGAGAAAAAAAATATTAAATATTAAAATAACAATTAAATAAATTTACTTGGATCAATTGAACGCAGTGCTTCATCCACTTCTCTTTGGCCTTGTACGAGGTTGACAAAGCTCTGTATACTCCGGCCAGTAGAGCTGAACCCCACCTGTACCCCTTAACAGCATCTATGTCCTGCAGCAGGTCGAGCCAGTAAAGTTGGACGCCATTCGCCCGCTGGTCGGGGAAGATGAAGGACCCAATGCACCAGAAGATAAGGGCCCTCGCCCTCTGCTCGTAGACGATGTCCGGTTGTCCTTCTTGCAACGCACGGTTGCGTTCCTCCTCTAACCCTCCATCGTCCAGATACTGGCCTCTAATGTCCCAAGACTTTGGATCTTGGGCTGCTTGCTCTTCCTCGGTGGTGGGAGGATCCTGAGAGTGGTTTTTCCATATTAAAAAGGATAAAATTGAGTTGACATATATTTTAAAAAAATTATATGAAAAAATATACCTGAACATAGGGCTCGTACCCTAGCAACTCCTTGCACCTCTCTCATGACTGTAGGGGTGATAGATCTCTAGTCACTCCCACAACAGCAGCTCCAACGATTGGCAGACTGAACAGGACTTGTACGTCCTGGAGCGTAATGGTGGCCTCGCCGAAATCGAAATGGAAGGTATTCGTCTCTGGGCGCCACCTCTCCACGAGAGCAGTAATAAGGCTGTTGTCGGCTTGGACTCGACCCATTCGAAACAAGGGTCTGAAACCAGTCCGGTCGATGACCTCCCAAATTGATCGTGGCTGGCTTAACAAAGCCACCCAGAACTGACTCTCGAAACGGCGATTTGTGAGCGCCAAGTCACGAGCTCCCGGCGCATTACTAAATACCGCCTGTGACCGGTGGCGGTACTGGAGATATAGAAGAGTGCCATCCCTCGGACCGGGATGGACACTGTACTGCTGAGGCTGTGAGGAGGACGATGAAGCCATTTATCTACACACAATACAAAAAGATTAATATTAGGATTAAGGTTATTTATTAAAAAATAGTGCTCAATTCAAATTAAGCTCATTTCAAAAATAACAAAAGATTAAAATAAAATAAGTTCATAAAAGCTCAAACATATCAGATTAAAATGGAACATATCAGATTAAGCTCATTCGAAACAAGGGTCTCGTAATATGCTAACATCAAGAGTCCAACATGAACATATATGTATATAACTCGCAACTCAAAGGATTTAATTCAACTCAATTAAATTCCATTTTAGCTTCTTCCGTAATAAAGTAATCGGCTCGAAAGAATGGAAATCGAACGGCCTCGGCTCTCGGCTACACTCGCGAAACACCTAATTCTAATCGAGTCCACAATTTTACAATTCGAGATTCAATTTGTAGTCCTAATTTCGGAAAATCGAACTTCATACAATACTTCACACACTAGTTCACACAATAAGTACACACAATAGTTCACAATTTCAACCCCCAAATCGAAACCCCAAATTCTAATCAATTCCCTAATTCTAATCAACCATAACACCCTAAAACATCAAATTTTAATGAAACCCTAACTTAAATACGTATTATGAAAATTCGTATTTATTGAAAAAATTTAGGCAATTTACCTAATTGACGAGTTCGATTTGCAGTTGAGGTGGTGGTGCGGCGGCGGTGGCGCGGTGTGCGGGTG